GCAAAAACGATTACTACATAACTCCCTTCCCTATTTGTGGCATTGCATAGTGTTGATACTATTATTCTAAAATGAGCTGGTATCCACACTTTTCACTTCTAGTGTCCCATGTGAAAAAGAAGTGCACTTAACTGTACTGCATGTGCACTTGCAGTGTACTTCAATTCTTAAAAGTATATTTTTTTAAATGGTACTTGCAGATCATATATTATTAATGAACTGAAAGGCCACTTTCATGACTATGTTTTTTAACACTCTTAAGTAAACATGCACTTTGTAATAATGTTGAATTTAAGTTTTACTGTAAACACATTTTAAGTTGTTTTAATCATTTGTCATGCTTTAAAGTACACTTTTTTTATGTGCTGGCTAACATATTCATGTTAAGTACTTTAATTTGAACTGTAGTGTGTTACTGAATATTACATTTAAAGTTACTATATTTCAAATATTTTAATTTAGAATGTATATAAATACCACACACTACTCAAACCTGCATCATCACACAAAATATTTTTTAAATATATTTATTAATATTAATATATATTTTTTTTATATTTATTAATATTTATCAGCCTTCCTCAGGCTGTGGGATTTTAATATTTTGTTGTTAAATTGTACTTTCATCCTACACAACTACATATTATTCACTAGAAGAGGCACTATATTTTTGATTGATTATATTTTTGGTTACCATAAATGCTTGTCAGTATTCAGCGGTGCACTTTAGCCATATTTCAAAAGACGTAATTATAAAATGACATATAAAGGTGTGCTTATGTCCTACAAAAGTGGGTCAAAAAAGCACTTCTATGTTCAACTAATTGCATGTACTATTAACTACAATACATTTTCATTTAATTGTAAATAACATGCAGTTAAGTGTCTGAAATCATTACATTCAGATACACTTAGGTAAATTATTTTAAAGTATATTATTTCCATAATAAGTAAATAAAATGGTATGTTATGAAAGAGTAACTGAACTAAAATAAATGCTTCACTGTGATGCCATCAATCAAATACTAGTAAAATCTCGCAATCCCAAAACTCGTGGTATGGATGAAAGGGTGTGTTCCACCATCTGCAAAGAGATTCTCCGAACTCTAAACCCCCCAAAACTATGAAACAGCGTGACCACATTCAGACGGCTGTGTCATAAGATCCGCTTCACTACTGAAACGCATTAGAGGTCGTGTTATTTACCCTCTGCATGTCCTTCCTCACTGCTGCATCAGCACTAGAGTTCCTCAACAACAGAGCGAAAAAAGCACCAAAGAGTGAAAGAAATGGCGGGAAAGTTGAGGGAAAAACCACTAAAGCAGTCACATGCGTCATAGGAGAGAGACCTCAAGAACGTAAAATATGAGTGAGTCTATGGACGTCACTGAGAATGATTCGAAAGTTTATCATACTGCGTTTCTAATTGCAATGTGTATCAAATTGATCACAAAATGACTGTATTTCACCAAGTTAGTCAAACCAAAAGCTTCCTTTGAATCACGTCACAGATAAAAGCAGTGATCAGTTCTTTACATGAATGATCATGGTAATAAAACGAGCGGTGGAGGTTTTTGCTTGGGTAACACATTATAGTCAGTTAAAATAAATATTCTATTCCAGCTTCAGTAGAAGTTAAGCTCTATATGCAGTAGGGGTGTAACAGTACACGTATTTGTACGGTCTTTCGGTTCGGTGCGCATGTGTACCGAACAAATATAGCATTGTTTTAACCACTGCACTTCATTGAAAACTTCCAGATTTATATATTGTTACTTTTGATAAGAAACAAAGTCTCATCTTTCAAATGATGTCAATTTTTTCAGGAAATTCTAACAATAAATGCCGTTTTGACGATCTTGGATGTGGCGCGACAGATCGCTGTATAAACGCCTCGGTTCAAGCGGCAGCGCGATCATCTCTTCCTCTTTACTACTAGTTATAACACAAAATAAACATGAATGAACATCTCACGCTTCATGTAATCAGAGTTTCAATCTTGGAAAGACGTCAATAAAACAGCTTGTAAACAAAACTTCACATAGCATTTCATTTAACTCAGGAAGTCATCAATGTCCACAGCTCGTTAGTGCGCTATAAAATATATAATCATTATATTTTACTTTACCTGTTAGTGATGTCTTATTATTTAATGTATGTTTAAATAAATCTGTTATGAAACGAGTTATGAGAGGCACTGCGTAAATGATTATATTTCAACAACAAATAGAATTTTTATAATTTAGAAGTTAATTTAAAAACTGCATTATGTGCAATTTACATGTTTTGCATACATTTATTTTAAGCTGAGTGTTGATTATTATATTTAAAAATAAATAGTAATTAAATGTAAGTTTGGGCTCCGTTGTTAATTGTAACCTTATAGTAGGCCTAATGTAAAAGGGCTCACTATAGTTTAGAGGTATGTACCGAACCGTCATGTTTGTGTACCGTTACACCCCTATTATGCAGTATTTTAGTATATTATGACAAATTTAGTATATTATGACGAATTATGACAAAAATCATTTTGGGTCCCTTAATTTCTAAAAAAAAAAAAAAAAGTTACAGTGAGGCATTTACAATTAAATGAGGCCAATTTTTGGAGAATTGTGAAGCTTAGTATTTTATTAAAGCAGTTAATTATTCTGTTAAATTTTTTTATTTATTATTATTATTATTATTATTTGAGATGTAAAGCAGTTAAAAAATCATGACATTTATGGTCATTTTGGGGTTAAAGGCATTGCATTTTCATGGCGATGAAGATGTAAAATTTGTAAAGTTAGTAAATGGCTTAATATAACCAAGATTGGGACAATGCCAGAAATGTTGTTCCTTCACTTAGCTTTGTGTGTGTGTTTTTTTTAATATTTAAAAAAATTAAAAATTAAAAAATTAAAATACAAACTGACAAGCAAGGTAAATTTTGTTTTAAATTAATATTGATGCACACCTCTTGTGCTAAATAAATTATTATAACAAAAATATTATACAAAAATATATCATATAAATATATTTTCCTTAAAAGTCCATTACAGAAAACCTTTATAGAGCTATGAGTTCACTATTTGTAGAGTTGTATGCATATGGTTCACATTTCTGTGGAACTGCCCAGCAGAGAAAAGCTCCCGTAACTTTCTCATGAAGCTGTGGCAGAGCTCACCGCGGGGATTTCTGACCATTTATACACATTTGGTGAATAGCTTCAGTTGTGCGGAGTGCTTCTAATAATAGAGGGTTTCAGTTCTAAACTATTTGCAAGGTTTTGGCTGCTATAGAAAGGGAGATTCAGCACAACTGAACACCGTCGTCAAACAGGAAGTTCAGATAAACTTGGAGTTTTGCTTTGAACGGTCTAATTTATTTTAACTGGTGATCTCAACTCAAATGTTGGTAGAACATCAGAGAATCGGAGTACTTTTCAGCAAGTGTTATTTCTAGGACATTGTGATTCTGGATGAGATGTCATTGCACAACTCGTGAAGTTCCTCCGATCAAAACAGGAAAAGTCCCAATCAGTATGACCTCAGTGACTATGATGACAAAGCATCAAAAAAGTGTTTGTCAAGAAGCATCAGACTAAGCAGTAGGGCTGTGCAATACATCAAAATTATCGAAATATCGCAAATGTACATATCGCAATATGCATATCGCTACGACTTGCAATATTTGGGGCCATGAACAAAAGACAAAGAGAAAATCACTCACTGCTCTTACCTAAATAACTTTTGTAGCTTAAATAAGAATCAGTGCATATTGAATTCAAAGAGTAAATACTAAGCAGTGTTGTATTTTTCCTTTTTATTATTCAGTTCCTAAACTCATGTTAAAATGAAATCTTTATGTAATGCTAGAGTAAAACACTACCATTCACTTTCCGGGGTGCTTTCTTCTCACAAAAAGTGAAACATGTATGCTAGTTATATTAGAATCAGAATCAGAATGAGCTTTATTCACCACTTAAGTGTGCGCAAACACAAGGAATTTGTTGTGGTTTTACAGGAGCTCTTGGTACATACATACATACAAATAACCATATATATATGACACAAGATAGTTATAGAAGTTCACAGAACTGACTCAGCAACAGCTGAGTAAAACTGTTTCATCTGAGCATGTGGCACTTTAAGCATTATCGTATCGCATATCGAATATCGCATTATTTAATGAGTTATCGCATATCGCATTTTTCTTCAATATCGCACAGCCCTACTAAGCAGTACCATACTGTAAAGCGCAGACTTCCACCAACAGGCCAGAGCTTTTATTAGAGCTGTGCAATTAATCCAAATGCAGTCGGCCTATGAAAATACAATAATCGAGATAAAATGATTATTCTGCCCCATTATGCCCCCTTTCCAGCAGTGCGCTTTTGCTCCTCCATAAAAGCACATGCAAATCAGTAAAATCATGTAACATGACTTTCGCTAAATGGAACATGCTTGATTTATTAAAGTTTATTAGATTTATTCATGTTTTTAAAAGCGTGAAAAACTTGTGCTGTTCCTCAGGAGGACTTCTGTGCATGCGCTCAGAGATGGAATATGTGTACAATAATGATATATATAGTGTGGCGGTTTAATAACCATGGGGAAATATGGGTCCCATGACCAAACCAGTTGAGAACCACTGTTCTACACTATCTAGTGCACTGGTCTGGTCAGATATCTTAAGTACGTGTCTGCACACTTCTCTCAGACAGAGCCATGAGTTTGATGACTTTTCCTGTCGCAGCACTGAAACGGTCCATCTAATTCCTGCCACATAAACTTCAGCATTTCTGTGGCCGTCGGTGAAATGCATGTTGATCTCTCCGACTGCTAAGCTTTCGGTTCTACACATGACATCAAACTCAGGGTTTGGCATTACTTCATCAAGGTTTCATTGGCAAAGAATGGCCACGCTGGTTAGGTTCTCCATTAAGCATAAAGGATGCTGATATTTGGATTCACATTTTCATCATCACATTATTATACTGCAACTAGTACAAAACTCACCTGAAGGTCGAAAAATTTACTGTAGCGCCTGAAAATGATCTCAGTGCTGCCATCAGACCAAGCCACTTTGATAATGTAAACCTAGAGTAAAAAAGAAAGAAAGTGAGTGTTAACCCAGATTTACAGTTATGTACACTACACACAACTCATTCATTTAATTAAGATAACTACATCAGTTAATGACCCTCATCTTTCCAGACCAGTACAAGTAACCAGTACTTTGCGCTCTTTTCCATGCATGCAACTTCAATGAATGACGACTGGAGCTTCCAAGCTTCAGAAAGGATGCAGAAGCACCATAAATGTGTCTCTAATGACCTGTGCATCTCTACATCCCATCAGAATCCATATGGTAGCTTTGACTATAATTTAAGCCGTTACACACTGAAAATGTATTTGATCTGTTCATGAGTAGGGATGTAACGATTCACTCAACTCACGATTTTGATTTCACGATTCAATTTTCTCACAATTTTTTTTAAACCAAATGAGATTGAGACATTATACAGTAAATGAGAAGGTGTCGTTTTATTAGGCTTCTTTGTGAAACTGAAATGTAACAAAACTAAATAGAAAGTTTAAAACAAACCCCAAATCAAACAAAGTAAGTTACACAATTAAAATAAATCTCTTAATATGAACAAAGTAGGCTTTGTCTGTGCTCTTTCCATTTAAAATTAGAGGCAACCACTGCATTTTAATCACGATCCAAACAAAGATGCAGCATACATGCAGCATGAATAGTTTTTAATCTAAATTAGACTGTATAATTTCGAAATTTAAAGCAAAAACAGAATGCTCTGACTTTAGTTTTGTGAAACTATACTACATAAAACATATCTGAAGGAAACAGCAGTAGCTGTGAATGAGACGCAGATTCACTCTCTGCCAGCAGGTGGCGTTTATGAACAGCAATGATACAGTGTTTCCTGGGTTACCGCTGTAAACAAAGCAGAGCTGCTATTTGAACGATGCATATTAAGCGTTATTAAGCATATTAAGCGCAAATGAAAGCGTAGCGTTCATGAGGCAAGATGAAAATAAAATACGACGTAAACTTTTTAAACTTTTCTCAGTTCCCCTCAGAGACACATTCATATAAACTCCTACTCCAATTGTATCGCAATTTGTTCAATTTGTTTACCGATTTGAATCGTCACATATTTGAATCGATTTTCGACCGGCTCGCGGTTAATCGTTACATCCATATTCATGAGAGAAATAACAATGTTCACTAATCACTCATTGTTTCAAGAATTTGGTTGCAGTGGTTACATAAACACCAATACGCTGATAACTACCCAAAAAACTGTTTATTTGTGATATTCTGTGTGCAGATATTAAGGTTCTTCATTCATGTAAGGCTAGCATTTAGTCAACAGTTATATCAGCCACCAGTGAACGATTACACATAAAAAAAATTATTATAATGCAATTTTTGAAAAATCCAGGTTTGCTGTGCTTTTGTAGTTTGTAGGACTGCACAATTTGGCCAAAACGTTGTGATTGTGTATCGCGATGAGAACATACGTAGAGAACGAGTAGACCTGACAAACACAAACTGAACAGACTAGGGCCCAGTCCACACGGAGACGTGTTCAGCTGTATACGCATACATTTTGTATCGTATAGGCGTTTCGTCCACACAGATCCGGCGTTTTGGGAGAGTGAAACCGATATTTTTTGAAACTGGGTCCCAGAGTGGATAAATCTGAAAACGCCCCCCTTGCGTTTTCGTGTGGACAGCGAATCCGTATATTTTCTGAAACAATGACGTCATCAGCCCACGTCTCGGCCCTAGTCAGACACCGCTACGTCACGTAACAGCAACAAAAACATGAACAAACACTGAACGATTGTCTTTTTTAACATTAACACAGATTAATAAATGTATTGTTCCATGTTCGTTTGTATACCGCGCGCAAGGTTTATGCACATGGTCCAAGTCTTCTTCTTTGTTTTTAGTGTATCTCTGTGGCAGAATTACAGCGCCACATACTGGTCTGGCATGTATACTACATCGTTTTGTGTCGGTTTCGTGGTTTCGTGTGAACGCAGATGTTTCTTGAGATGAGGGGGAAAAAAAGATCGGATAGGGAAAGCTCTGGCTTCATTTGGACGTAGCCTAGGACTTTTAAACACTGGATAACGAGGGACAAAATAGACACAGCTGGAAAGAAATTAACACAATTAACACGAGGAAAAACTGGGTCACGGGGAGCAAAACACACACATATAGTCCAGAACACTGACACATGCATTAACCCATTTTACATATTTTGTTTTTCAAATTAGATATGATCCTTGCTGAATGTCTGTCTTCAAAATTTTCATGTTTACATTTATGTATACTAAATTCAGCTTATAGCAGTAGCAAATTAATTAAATTATATTCATTATAAAAAATGTCATAATCAGCCTGTGTATAAAGTACAGTCCTGCACATTATGTTTAAGTCAGTAGATGCGACAAGTGACTGTCTTTGAGTGATTCATTGATTAATTCCTTCAACCAATTCGTTCAAAACGCTAATAGTTCAAGATAGAAACAGAAGTGCTTTTATGAATGAACCGATTCACTTAACTGATTCGTTCAAAATTTTGATTCATTCAGGAACAAAAATGTGACTCTCCTTGTGAATGAGTCATTGAATCATTCACACTGCTGAATTGTTTAAAACATTGATTCAGCCAGTTGCTCTGAACCACGACCGTGTTGTGACTATATTTGGAAAAAGGTTTGTTTTTGACGCAAAAACAGACAAAGTAACTGGAAATATTGTGTCTAAAATGTAATGTAAATGTAATTTTGTTTATTGAGCTGCATAAACGCATTGTCATACTTAAAGTCGTGCTATTTTTTACGAATATCGGATGTTTGGGTTTGCCTTTTCTTCATCCTCTTATTTAATTGTTTATCATAATCATCTTAAGTATGGTTGATGACATGAAGTTCAGTTATGCTGAAGGATTTGAATTCGAATGAAATCCAAAATGGAGATTTTAGGATGCCCTTCAAACAGCATGTATGAAATGCTAAATTCAGGTTTTCATGGTTTTTAATTGTTGATGTAATGTATTTGCGGGGACTTCACAGTAGAGGACTGGTCTCTCTGCCTTGTGGCTCAGAGACACCAAAACTAACCAGCTGCTATCTTCAGCACTCGCTTTGTGGGTTCATAGCCCCGCTAACAGCAATGATACAGTGTTTCCTGGGTTACCGCTGTAAACAAAGCAGAGCTGCTATGAACAGCAATGATACAGTGTTTCCTTGGTTACCGCTGTAAACAAAGCAGAGCTGCACTTTGAACGATGCATATTAAGCGTTATTAAGCATATTAAGCGCAAATGAAAGCGTAGCGTTCATGAGGCAAGATGAAAATAAAATACGACGTAAACTTTTCTAAAGATAGTCAGTTCCCCTCAGAGACACATTCATATAAACTCCTACTCCAATTGTATCGCAATTTGTTTGGCATCTCAACCGATTTGAATCGTCACATATTTGAATCGATTTTCGACCGGCTCGCGGTTAATCGTTACATCCATATTCATGAGAGAAATAACAATGTTCACTAATCACTCATTGTTTCAAGAATTTGGTTGCAGTGGTTACATAAACACCAATACGCTGATAACTACCCAAAAAACTGTTTATTTGTGATATTCTGTGTGCAGATATTAAGGTTCTTCATTCATGTAAGGCTAACATTTAGTCAACAGTTATATCAGCCACCAGTGAACGATTACACATAAAAAAAATTATTATAATGCAATTTTTGAAAAATCCAGGTTTGCTGTGCTTTTGTAGTTTGTAGGACTGCACAATTTGGCCAAAACGTTGTGATTGTGTATCGCGATGAGAACATACGTAGAGAACGAGTAGACCTGACAAACACAAACTGAACAGACTAGGGCCCAGTCCACACGGAGACGTGTTCAGCTGTATACGCATACATTTTGTATCGTATAGGCGTTTTGTCCACACAGATCCGGCGTTTTGGGAGAGTGAAACCGATATTTTTTGAAACTGGGTCCCAGAGTGGATAAATCTGAAAACGCCCCCCTTGCGTTTTCGTGTGGACAGCGAATCCGTATATTTTCTGAAACAATGACGTCATCAGCCCACGTCTCGGCCCTAGTCAGACACCGCTACGTCACGTAACAGCAACAAAAACACGAACAAACACTGAACGATTGTCTTTTTTAACATTAACACAGATTAATAAATGTATTGTTCCATGTTCGTTTGTATACCGCGCGCAAGGTTTATGCACATGGTCCAAGTCTTCTTCTTTGTTTTTAGTGTATCTCTGTGGCAGAATTACAGCGCCACATGCTGGTCTGGCATGTATACTACATCGGTTTTGTGGT